GCTCTTGGCTTGCTCTCTATCCTCACTTTCTTTCATCCTTTGCAGACACAAACACAGCTGAGATGCAGGCACACAATCAAAGTCTGTGTGTGTGTGTGTGTGTGTGTGTGTGTGTAAGCTCTGCCAATCCGAACCGTCTGACCTGCAGTTTTGTCGGGGCCTCAGCTCACCGCTCGCCCTGCAGATGGGCTGCACGTCAGCACTTACAGGAGGAACAATTATGAATGAGACCAGAACTGATCTGAATCAGCTGATCCAAAAAAAGTGTCTCATTTTACATCATCTGGGTCAAGATGAAAAGAATAACGGTCTCTGTCTCCCTCTCTCATGCAGACAAATGCTAGATTTCAAGCACACGATTACTGCATATCTATTAATGTAAACAAACTTCATGTAAAAGCTGTGGGTGATTGTTGATGCTTGATCCTGTTCATTATGACCTGCAGGCATTCGTAAATATTCTTTATTTGCGATGACATTCTGTCTCAGCGATCGTGTTTGCGTGCTGCTTTCAGTGCAGGTACTGAATTCATTCCAGGAAATCTGCTGACACGTGAGTCACACCAGCCCCGGGATCGTCTGCTGACTTAAATTTTGAGGGCAAAGTCGATCTGAAATTTAAGTTAATATGTTTAAGCAAACATAGCAGCCCATTTGGAATACACCACCCTGGAAAACAGTAAATAAATAATTGAATAAATGTGCCATTTCTTTTATGACGGGCACATTAAGACAAAAAATAGCACTTTTTTTTTCATTTATTGTTTATTTTGAGATTAAAGTTGAAATGTGGATCTCTGCCATGGCTCCTATAACCTCTCTGCATAATGCCTTGTGTAGATGGGTAAGTGAAATAACTTGACCAGCTGACTCATTGTGTCTGGCAATACAACATATCCCCTCTTTACTGCACAAGGGTGCAGCCATCAACATCCTGGCCAACTCTTATGAGTTTGTGTGGTTTTAACTTCTGACCAGATACAGCGTCTCTTCAATCGCATTGGAACGTAGACAGTTTAACAGCCGTGGAAGACTTGAAACTGAACATTTAATCTCCACATTTTGAATTTATTTTGAAGATAAACAATAACTACTCGAAAAAAACCTGATCCGGGTGTTACATGTGGATCAATCGTATTTTTGGCCCCCACATGCCTCCTGACAACGGGGGATGCTTTAGGTGAGACGGTAGATGGTGTCCTATGGATCTCCTCCCACACCTAGATCAATGACTTTAAGGTCTGTCGGGCTATTTGGCAGCATCGGATGCACTGATGTATACCGTTCCGGATGTTCTGCCAGTCAGCCGTCCAGTCGTGCTGATGGAGGCTGCAGGAGGCGTAAAGTTCTCTTCCTCATGTGTCACACGTACAGAGAATGGAGCTCACTGGTGGATCTGCTGGTTCCCTTGTTCTCTGGATAATGCCAGTCACGCTGCATGATGCTGGTCTGTGAGCACAGATCTCACTAAATGAAGTCAGGGCGTTATGCAACCCTAATAGTCTGCTAAAAGTTTGGACAGAAACATGCACAAAACTCTCCTGCTGGAGGTCACTTTATCCAGCTCTGGACGCACTCCTCCGGCTCCTCACACAAAGGAGCAGTCCTGCTGCAGGGGCTGATGCCCTTCTAGTGGTCCTGTCCTGCTCACGTTTTGCGGTAACCCATCTCCTGGTATCTCCTCCACAGTCTATGCTGGGAGAATTGGCAAACCTTCTTTCAACAGCACAGTGAAAAGAACACTAGCTGCAGTAAAAACAGAGAAATCAGGGATGAAAGATAAGGAGAGTGGCTCTGGCTTACACTACATTATTTTGCATCCGGTAAAACATAAGCACAATCATTTCTGCATTTTAACTAAACACACAATGAGATTTCGGAGGTCTTTTTTTTATGACCAGGTGTTTTGTAATTCTGTAATTCAATTTGTAATCTCAGACTATCGGTTAAAAATTGGGTAACACTTTATAATACAGCCCACATCTGAGACGTTAATTCACTTGTACTTTAATGGAATTTCAGGAAAGGACTGTCTCCGTTCCTATAACATACCCGAAGTTATGCAATACTTTGAATTACTCACGCACTACCTAAAGTTACTTACACATTATTTAAATTTCCCGACAGTGTATTTATTTTTTGTTCTTGCGAAAACCCGATTATTACTCATTTATTCTATTCTTAGTCTACCTACCTGTAAGTATTTGCAACTCAATATAGTTACATTTTATTTTAAAATAAAATAATTGAAGTTCTATATTTAACACTGGAAATTATTTTATTTTAGGAAATAAAATTGTTTGCTAAGGGTTAATGGATGAATATGGATGGATGGTAGGAATTACAATTCCTGTAATCTTGACTTTAAAGACATGTATGCATCCTCTTGGCTTATGCAGATGAAACCTCTAAACATCCAGGCATCTTGTGTACATATATGTACGTGTGTGTGTGAGAGATCTGCAGAACAGCTCTTAAAGGTCAGGTATATACCTTTATATACCTGACCTTTAAGAGCTTCTTTTCAAGGTCCATTTAGCTCTTTCCAAAACAAAAGCCAGCAGTGTCCGATATTTTTAAAACACTCTGCGGTTCCTGTTTTTCTGACCCCTGGTTACAGGTCAGCGAGGCTGGGAGGAAGGAATATTTTTTATGTCGCTGTTCATCAGCTGTTATCCGACCGCTTTACTGAAAAGTAATGCAGTGAAGTTTCATCAATGGACCAGCCAGCACGTTTCAGCTGGACGATCAAACATTAAAAACAGTCAAAACTAAACAGTTAAAGGAGGCTGGCTGACAGTTTAATAAGACAACTGGCTGCATGAAGATAAAATCACATGTTTTTAATCATGAGCACGTACTTTACAAGAGAGAGCAGCCCAGGGTGACTCACAGTCAGCTGCCTGAATAAAATGTTCTAGCTGGTATAATTAGTTTTTCTTTTCAGACAACAATGAGGATTTTACAGAGTTGGTGTCTAACTCTGTGTTTCCTTTTTAAAAAAATGTTTTTTGTTTCTTTTTAAAGAAACCAAACTAATGACAAACTCCTGATGTAAAACTTGAAGCCACTGACTGGATTACCTTCAGCAGAGCAGACGAGAATGAGGCACAAATACTTTCTTTTTTTGTTAGAAATCCAGGTGATGTCAGGAAGAAACAATCATCCATCATTAATGAAACGGACACCTGAGCCTGCTCCAACACACAGGTGTTAACCTAAGATCACACTCCACAGGTAGCTGCGACATCAGGTTGAATCGAATGTCAGAGAGTCAACATCTGATCCCTCACGGCCGCTCCTGGGCCTGAATATGAAATGGTCACAACGTGTTAGTGTTTAGGCATGGTTAAAGCTTGTGTACACGCCACAGGCGGCCTAAAAGATGGACACTGCCAATGTGATGTGACCTACTGGTAAGTGAAAACCTCAAGTTTATTAATTTTGTGATTGCAATTATTTGTGGAGAGTGAAGAGCGGACTTGTCAAACTGGGAAAACCTCCTTTATTCTCCTGTAAAAATAGTGCTTGAGACAATAAATTCAACAGGAAAGTGTTTGCTGAGGTCCATGAGAAAAAGAGCTGAAAAGAGCTTTTCCCATTGACTCCTATTTGACCAGAACTCACTTTCTAACAACAAGGGTGCCCCCTGGTGGCCATTAAAAAGACCATCTTTTATACCGTTTATAGTTCTGGATCCTTTACATTTAGTGGATTATGTTGATCTGCTCTTTATGATCCTAAAGAGGCTGAATGAATCTATTGTGTTTTTTTTTTTACTGGTTGTGGAAACCACATCACTGTTTCCTATTGGGTTTTTTTTAAATGCAAATACCTGCTTTGTATGGTTTCCTCTTATATCTCTGCATGTGTAAAACAGTTATAATCAGTGTAGACTTCACTCTCACAACATTTTATAAATGTTTGTCCCCAGAATTGAACTACAACTAGGCTAAAAAAAGAAAGGAAAAAACGAAATATGAGCTACGCTTGTCCTGAAATCTGTCTTTTTCCAGTGCTTACATGTACTGGATATACTGTTTATAATGGGGCCCTTAGATGTATTACAATCCTGAATAGTCCTGGTCAGCTTTCTGCTCTGTACCACTGGTAAACCTTTTTACAGGGCTATTCTCTCAGTCTGCTCCTATGTTAAGAAAAGTGTGAGAGGTTACGGACTTCACTCAGATATTCTTCATATATTCCTTATAATTGTTAAAATGCCTGCTGGCCTCTCAGTCGACCCAGGAAAAAAAGGACTGCTTCGCATCTCTGTAGTTTCTTCATGTGTGTTAAAACTAACAGATATTTTGTATTTCATGACTCATAAAACACTTTACTAGTCAATATTTCTCATATTATCAATAAATCAAATGACTGTAATGTGTGAGTTCCTCCCTTGGAGCCTGCTGAATTATAGACTAAACTCGTGGTGTATATTAATTTTAAACGCCTTTTATTGTCTTCAATGTGTGTGTGTGTGTGTGTGTGTGCGCGTGCGTATGAAGTCTTCTCACTTCCATCAGAGACTGGTACTTATAAACAAACTCTCCGAAAAACCCTCCATCATCCTGCTCAGCTCTACACATCGCTTCCCCCTTATGTCAGCCTCACAAACCTCAAAATCCAGAGTCTAAATCTTTCACCTACATGTGCAAAAGAACTAAATAACCCTCAGACCACACCTATTCCTTCAAATATTTGGAGCTGTTTCCAGGTGTCTGTAGCACAGAAGTTAGAGCAGGTCATCTACTAACCTGGTTTGCTCCTGGGTTGCATGCCAAATATCTGTGGGCAAGATACTAACCCCAAGTTGCGCTCCGATGGAGTTTGAATGTTAGATAGAAAGCACTTGTATGAATAAGTGTGGGTATAAAGAGCTCTGGGAGAGTAGAAAGGTCCTGTATAAGAATCAGTCCGTTTGCAAACACTCTGTGCTTCGAAGGAGTGCTGATCATTTTTCAAACAGTCGTGATTTTAACAAAACGAGGAGACCTTTCCAGAGTTAAAATAAATTTATTGCCTTTTTTAAAAATAAACATCTGAAATCAGTCTTTACTCGACATTCATCAATCATTTCCCCCCAAATCAACTCTTTCTACAAGGTTACAAAAATATGCACCCAGTTAGAAAAAAATAATCACCTCAAAGATGCTTCCTAGTCTGAAACATGTTTTACATGTTAGCTCATCAGTTTTAATTACTTTATTTTCCTCTAATGGTTTCTTCCATCTAGGCAGACACTGGCTTCTCTTTATGAAATGCATGAAGCCGGAGAGCTGCTGTACAGTGCATTACGATTCTCAGAGAAACTTTTCATTTATCTCAAATCAACAAAAGTCAGTCTGAGAGCTGAAGACAGTGTTGATATTTGGCTGAGGCTCTCTCTCCTTGAACCTGATAGGTCCAAAGATTTAACCCTGTAACACAGACTGTATCATATTTGATACATACATGAGATACATGAGATCTGTACATAATCAGTGTGACTGACAATCACACAAATCATTTATAAACTGCTATTTAATTTTTTTAAAGCAATAGATTCAATAAACACACCAGTTTCAAAAAGGGTCAATTATTTCACGGCTCAGGCTTTACACCATGAACTCTCAGCAACTCTCACTCCATTGCTTGTAGTATTTTTAAAAAACTAAATCAGAACACAGGTTTAAGTGACTCTGCCAAAAATAAAAACATGGTGGAGGTGGCAGTGAATACAGTGCAGCTTTCAGTAACACTGAAATTACAAGTCGTCGTCAGTCTCGATGATACAAAAGCATCACAGTCCTCAGCTCACTCAAATTTAGATGGATCCTGTGCAGGTTTGTGGTAAGTCTTCATAATTTATAATCAATATCATTAATTTAAACTGTATTCCAATCATAAATAAATAAGAAAATCATTTTAAAGTGACAAAACTCCCTCATGTCTTATTTTTTTCCTTGAACACACAAGGACACAACATTAAAAAAAATATTATTCTGAGTCAGCTTCAAGGGATCAAAACAACCTAAAAGTTTCATTAACTAGCTGGACAAATGTGTTTTTAAAAAAATCTGGATCTGCATTAAAACACACACAGTAACAATTATGACGTGAATGTGCGCACCATTTTCTCTGAACTGAGATGTTCATGAACTTTGCTGTCAAACTTTTTGGAAATGTTGCAAAGTTGCTTTTCTTAATAACATAAAACAAAATAAAACACACAAACAGAAACCCAAAAACAAAAGAAAAACCCTGAAATGTTCCTTTCATGCAGCTTGATACAAAAACATGACAGATGACAGATGCAGATTCCTTTTGCAGACTTTCGCCGGCTGAACGTGGAAGTAAACTAAAGCCCAGAAAACTCGGCGTTCCTGGATCTGAAGATGATATTCTTAAACAAGAACACAGAATAAGAGAAGAAGCACTCAGATTAAAAGAATGAAAGTTTCCTTTATGCTGAGCTTGTTCATCCTGTTCAGCGAAGGACCAAAATCAGTAATCCTGCTGGTCACTTTATCCTGGTTAAAAATATCAGAGCTGTAGGAGATCAGAGTTATGTTTGTGTGTCAGAGTTACAGTTTTAGTTTGTTAATGTGCATCGGCATCGGCGGGATGCCCAGTTTGATCGAGCTCTGTCTCATTCGGCTGCTCAGTGAAAAGTGAGCGCGTCACTCACACTCAAAATAAAATTGAGCTAAAACGGAGAAAAATCGTTCAGCCTCACAAAGCAGCAGCAGCACCTAATTCTGGTTTAGAGCCACACTTTAACTTTAACTGCAGCTGACACATGCTGCACGTTCAGTAAATACCTGCACTGTAGCCCACATTAGCCTTCAACAGTGTATTCATCCAAAATCTGCTACCAAGAACACACTCGTCATCTCTCTCCCTGGTTTTCCACTGCATTCAAATTCAGCTAAATAAAAACAACGATCGTAGCATTAACAGCCTTAAAGATCCCTTTTGAAAACTCTTTCACCCTTAGAAAAATATTTACATCGTTATTGCAGTTATTAGCACCGACTTTTCCCTTTAAAACACAGTTATGTTTATCATCTATGATGTAGTTAGCGCTTTTTGCATCCAGTTGATGCAAAGAGCAGATGAAATCGGTATAATATACACTGTATATTCAGCAGTAGGGCTGCCACGATTTGTCGACTAGTCACGATTACGTCGACTATCAAAATCGTCGACGACTGATTTAATAGTCGACGCGTCGTTTGAAGCTTTGTAAGATCACAAAAGACGCAGGAATAAGTGGCAGGATTTAAGAGTGTAATAACGGACTGAAACAGAAGATGGCAGCATTGCATGTACAAGGATGTCAGCTACCGTTAAACCCCGAAGAAGAAGAAGCAGCTGTGTCCCAGAATTCATAGCGCGGCCCAGCGCAGTTTCCAACAATGGCGGCAGCTAGTTAGTTTTAATGTTACTCTTATTATTCTTTCTGGGTCACAAAATAAACGTTTAACATATTTTTAGGCGAGAATGTAGCTGTGTAGACCTCAAATATCTGCTCAGTTTATCCGGACACCACATATTTTCAAAAGCGCTCCAACGTTTTCGGAGACGTCTGTTACCCACTAGCTCGTTAGCGAGCCGGGGGCTAGGCTCACTAGCGCCGTGAGAACACCGGACTCCCCGCAAATCGTTTTCAAACCCACCGCCGTCTTTCGCTACTCAGGTTAAATATATATGAGTCACTTAGATAACTTAAAATGTTATTGTTTGGCTTTTTTTTTAGTATTTTATTTGTTCCTGAGTAAATCAGTTTGTCTGAGATTAAAGTTATAGTTTTTACACAGCTGAATAAACGTCAAGCAGACAGCTGATTATCAGAAGTGTGAGATGCTCCAGAATATACTCCAGTGTCCTGTTATATTTTAGATAGCAAGGAGTTTATTAATCTTCACCGAAACAATCTGCAAATTTCATTAAAATTTAATAAACTATCTTGTCTTTATTTTTAGTTAGCACAGACCTTAAACACTTAAAGCTGTAAGCTAATGATAGTTATATAAGAGCAGATGCTGCTGGTGCAATAAGCTGTAGTTTTACGTCCAATGGATGATGATCTGATTAGTCGACTAATCGCAAAAATAATCGGTGACTAGTCGACTATCAAAATAATCGTTTGTGGCAGCCCTATTCAGCAGTCAGGGAAACACTGTAAAATAAAATTTTCATTAAATAGTTCTGAAACTCAAATGGAAGTTAAACTGACACGTATGTCAAAGTGCATTTGAAAATGAAGGTGCAGTGTCGCAGCCTGTCCAGAAGAGGGCGCTACGCTCCCACTGTTTATAGGCCTGATGAGGTTGTTGGATAGAAAAAAGTGGAGTTAATGAGAGGGGTCAGACCTCCTCCTGCTCAGAGGTTTAGCTCCCACATTCCCTTTGCTGTGCACGTCTGCAGCCTCGATGCAGCTTCGGTTTGGTTATGGCACTTCCTGTCAGCGCGTGGCATCCTCCTGTCTCCTACGTGTTCGTCTCCCGCTGGATCTGGATGTAACAGGCCTGTGGCAGAGACATGGTTTAAAATCCTGCACGCATGATGGACGAAGAATAACTGTGATTGGAGTCACAGCTGAAACAAAAACAGCAATTTGGAGATTTCCTGAAGTTTTACAAAGATTTTTTGTTTCCTTTGAGGAACTATGGAGTCAGGAAAGTGCTTATAGACCTTTCTTATTGTAAACTGACACAAAACTAGGAATTTGTTGAAAAGGTTTTTTTAATTACGCTGCTTCAGATCCAGAAGAAAACACAAAGGGTCCATAAAATTATGTTGAAACAGGTACTTTTACACCTTTTATGTAAATGTGTCTGGGAGTCGGCTGCTCTCACCTTTAGTGTTGTGAACATCAGTCCCAGCTCTCCGTGCTGAATGTTGGGATCCATCATATCTTCTATGAGGCTGATTTCAGCTCCCAGGTTTCGGATCCTGAGCAGCAGAATAATGTGTAATGGATTAATTGGATGTTTATAAAACTACTTTCAAAGAGGTGGGATAGTAAAAATAACAAGACTGCGAACTTGAAAACCATCAGGACTGGTTTGATCCTCTTTGACTTGCTTAGTTTGGTTTTCACTTCTTGTACAGCTACTTAGACAACCTCCAACAAAACACAGTACTTTATAAAATACTCAAGAAAATAGCTCAGGATGGAAAATGCCCTTCATTCTCTTACAGATATAAATTCTGCCAGCTATCACTTATAAAATGTTCCGTTTTTTTAATCATTATAAATATCACGTGTTTAAAAAACTTTGAGGCTATAGTTCCTACACCTGAATCTCTAAAGAGGGGACACAAATTTAACACTGTGAGGTCTAACTCACCGGCTAGGCTGACATCAACCCTGAATCCTACTCCTTTGTATTTGGAGACAAGCTAAAAGTACTTTTTTGGGAAAAATCTAAGTATTTTTGAAAAATATCAGGTAGACTGATGACTGTTTTTGTTCCCTGATTGTCAAGACTTCAATAAAAGCATAAGGTTAGGGTAACCAACACAGACCTCAAATACCACCAATAAGGCAATACAGACACCTCTTACTACATGCAAATGCATGAATGTGTGATAGGATACCTGGCTCTGAGCACCACATAAAGGAAGAGTGGGAACAGATCATCCATGCACCAGAGGAAGTCACCATGCAGCAGAGGTTTCACCTCCAGGGTCAGCTCCTCAAACGACTTCTGGATCACCATCAGCTTGTCTGACGGAGTGAATCTGGTGCTGTGTAAATATGAAGGGTTGAATTTTAATACTCAACTCGTGAATTTACATTATAAACTCATGACATTGTGACATTTTTATTAGTGCGTGGGTGTGTATCCCTTTACCAAAGTCTCAATAGTTTGTGATCAAGCATCACAACATCTATTAAAAAACCAGCTGAGTGAAGGAGTCCCAGTGTGTGCTTGAATAATCAGCTGCTAACTGAGTGAAATGACCTGAAAGTATCTGTGTGGCAGTCTTCACAAGAACTGGGCAAATTCTCTAAATGCTTAGGAAAGGTGTTTAATGCTTCCTTTAGGAGAGGATATAGCTGAGCATCCTTGATGAAGGAAAAGGAGACAATAGCGACATCCCATTCAAGTGATCACCCATCCGACTATCCTTCTTTTTAACCGCTTACTCAGTTCACACAGAGAGCTGCTGGCGGCTCTGAGGTCAGCAGGAGAGTGCAAAATACTGAGCACCCTCGAGGAGACCCTCCATCGCAGTCAGGAAGCTCCGCCCACCAAAGAGCTGAACATCTGTGCGCTCAGGTTCAGGATGTGAAGGTGGACGTCAGGATCGACAACATCATCCGTCACTCTGAACTGAGCACAGCTCATCATTCAGTGTAGTGACGCTCTTCTTCATGGCCGACAGGTGAACCATGAACTTTATCCCGCTTTAATAAAATCTGCTTCTAAGGAGTTTTTTTTACTTGTGTGAAGAAACATTTACATTTTGAAAAGCTTGTGTGTTTGTAACCAGGACATCTGTAAATTCAGTTGCAAATGAATCACTCTTATAGATACACAAAACTCTAAACCATGAATAAGAGCTCCATTTTTCATTTTTAGTGTCTAGTCATCACTAATGACATTGTGCGTGATCACAGGGCAGCTACCTGATCTGCTGGAGTGTTTCTACAGCAGAAACAAAACAGGCGTCTTTGCTGCTGGACACAATCTGTAATGCATGCAAAGAGATCCAGTTACAGACAATGAAACGAGAGCTGCAGCTGTAAATAAAAGCTGCACATTTAGACTGAAAATTACAGAAAGAAAAAAAAAAAAACTGCCTCACCTGCTTTTTCTCCCCAAGAATTGACATCCACAGCGGCCAGAACTTCCTAAAGTGGAAAAATTCAAATGACACAAAACAAACAAACAAAATGTTTTTTTCTAAAGAAGAAAACCTTTTATATTTTTACTTATTTTGTGTGTTTTGTACTCACTCCTGCACTTCCAGGAAGCTGAGCAGCGATTGGTCAGGCTGTTTGTTGAGTCGGAGGATGCGCTCCCAGTACTCAGTTTCCTCCTGCTCCTCCTGCAGGGAGTACAGAGTAAAGAGAGGAGGATAGAGTCGAGGGAGCAGCAGAGGGAGGAGGAGAGAGGAGGAGCTCACCACCATAACACAGCTGGAGAATAACGTGGTGGAGGAAGAAGAGGAGAAAAACACAGATGAAGAGTCAGGAAAACTTCATGTGTCCTGTACGTGTGTGTGTGTGTGTGTGCGTGTGTGTGTGTGTCACTCACCCATGCCCTGTTGTGTAAGAGTTGCGTCTGCTCTTAGATGGAGAGGTGGGGGCATCTGGGAGGACGCTGCCATCGTCCGGTAATCCTGGGAATAAAAACCTGCAGACAGAATATTACACCCATATTTAGTCAGGTGACAGACATTATACCACATATACATATATAGTAAAATTTATTGTATACAAGAGTTTTATTTAAGTTGGTTTCACCTTCAGTTTTTAAATCTAATAAGGGCTCAGTCCCTGTAAACCAAATCTTAAACCACAGTCCTGACTCCCTCACAATCAGCTGATTGATTTATTTTTGGTACAATAACTTTAATATGAAGACATGTCATGTTTACTCTCAGAGTTAAAAGCCCTCAGAGTCACAGGGGAGAGGTTGTCTTATTTTTTTCCAAAATTGTGGAACTCTTACAACTTAAGTGCACGAAAAACCCACATGAAATTTTCAGATCCTCGACATAAAGTCGGTTAAATCTGACCTGGAAAATCTCTGCACAGGTCCATGGTGAAATCATATGCACAAGTGCAGGTGGTCAGAACAGGATTTCAAGGTAGTGACTGAAATGTAGCAATGGCACAGAAAGCTGCACTAAGATGACCTTAAACAGGGAAACAGCAAAATGTCCTAATTTTCAGAGCACAGTCCTGGAAGTTTCTCCAGTCTCAGACCCGTGTATAGAAACTCTTTCCTGAGGGCCCAGCAAACAGATGAATCTACCTGATGACGCCGTAGAAATGCGTGAGGTAGGCCAGGACCTCTTGGACCGCCTGCCTGAGCAGCCTGCGGTTTGATCCCACACCGACGTACGTCATTCTGTACGCTGTCACCAACGTCTCCAGCAGCCAGCCTAGAGGGTGGTGGGGGGTCTCACATGCCTGATGCACACACATACACAAACATCTATTAACAAAAACAAAACTACAAATAACCAAAACCAGAAGACTTTTTTGACGCAGGAAAACAGCTCATGATAATCAAACCGCACCTAACTTAAACTTGGTAATATCCCCTCAAGATCTTCTTTGAGCCTGGACGGCTTCCAATGCGTTCAAACATCACGTGATGGATCATCGCGGCTGATCGGGGCTGGGTCTCCAGTTGCCACAGCTATTACAGTTTCTATTTTGGTTTATTTTATTTTGTTTTGAATTCAGATTAGTTTCAGCTGTTCAAAGAGTGAATTTCCACATTTCTGTTTAGTTATTAGCTTTAGTCTTAAATTCCTAAAATATGTGTCAGTAGTGAGATTTAGAAGTTCATAATGAGTACTAAATACAAATGCAACGCTTTTTAAAGGCAGCTGATACGTAATCTTGGCAATTAAGTATCGAAGTGTGACCAACGTGACAGATAAAATATAAGGAAACCACCTATATTTTTATTATTTGCGTTTTAGCGTTTCAGGTAGCTTTCCTTTTTTTCTTCTTCAAAAATGTGAGTTCTAATTTATTTATTCTATGTAATCTGAAAAGCTCCTAAAATGTACATTTTAATTTATGTTTTCTATTGTTTATTTATGGGATTTCTGCACTTACTCTGGCTTCTCCCCACAGTCCAAACAGATGCCTGTTCGGTTAACTGGAGATTTTAAAATGGACTTGAACTGTTGTTGGCCATTCTATCACAGGCTAATCTGTCTAGCATGCAACTGTGTGCAGACACACAACCTCCTCTCAAGGCCCGCCTCCCTGCTAATTCATCCACTTTGCACCTTTACCTCTGCCATGCACGCTGGATCTCCACTGATCAAGTTGGGTGGACATCCAAGTTTTTGATCACACCCCGTACACACAGTCCTATCATTAACTCTGTCTTTCCAAAACCATTTGCGTCTGCGCCTTAATGAAGGATAAATCTGTTTATTTAAATGTATGATCACTATACCTTGGTGAGGTATCTTCGTATGTTGTCGTAGTTTGCTGCAGTGACAGGTTCTTCATACTGAGGAATAAACTCCAGACACTCCAGGACTTTGGTCTGAGACCTGCTGAGGTCTGGGCTACAAACATACAGCACACAGACACATCCACTTATTTAAGTTGACAACTGTATACGTAAGACACGATGAATTATTATCACACTGTGCGGCCCATTAAGTAGTTTGGAAAGTTACATATTTCTTCTGCAGGAGCTTCAGCACATTTAGTTTAAAGTAAAATGATAAATACTGCATTAATGTCTCATCTTTAAAATGTGTAGGTTTACATCATTATAAAAACTGTGCGGCAGAGCTTTCACTTTAACAGATACAGTGTTTTATTAATGCCACTGTGGCAGTTACACTGTCAGCCAAACGTGCCGAAGCATGACAGAACCACCGCCGTGTTGGATGGATGATGTGGTGCTTTAAGTCATCAGCTGTTTCCTGTCAGTTTTATAGAAGTCTAGGGGAAAATGACCCGACTTCTCACAGAATTTATGATGGCAGTAAACACCTTTCTGATGAATTTATGTTCTCAGTTTTAGATTTAAGTCTTAATATGATATTCATTTTCGTAATTATGGTGCTATTTGAGGTAAAATGTACAATAAAGAAGTTTATTATTGAAACCTGATTTAAAAAAAATCAGGCTACTGACTATTAAAATGTTGAAAGTGAGCCTTTAAAACTGGATTTCATCAACCAATGTGTGACCTCAACTTGGCTACATCAATCTTTTATTTGAAATCTGCAGTCTAAACTAACACAAATTAAATCTGAGGCTTTGATGTTGCGTCCTTTATGTGTCTACCTCTGCCGTCGTGCAGTTGTTATTGTAACAGCGATGTTCTCCCAGGCCGTCGTCCTCTCTCCTTTCCCAGCAGCGTCGCAGCCAAGCCGACTCCAACATTCATCAAACACACAGATCCACCTCTGATCTGCCGGCACGGCGTACTGACCCAGTCTGCTGCACATGTGCAACATTTTCAAAGTTTTAAATGACACGGCATTATACGATTATACCCTCGTAACAGACAAGAAGTTGACAAATAAAAGCCTGCACAAATCAGGAGCACATTTACATGCATTATTATAAAACCAGCTCACTAAAGTGCAATAAATACTCACCTCAGGCCGTTCTTCTCCTTGTTTGGAGGTTCAACAATGCCTGGCTTTGTGTACGTTCCAACCACCTTCAGCCCTGAGCTCCACTCTCCACTGAACTGGCCGTCCAGACTGTCACCATTAGGCATGGTTAAAATCCCCTGAAGGAGAAGAGGAGTGAAGAATGAAACTTGTTTTAGAGTATTATTAGTAACAACCGTGGTAAAAAGGAAAAAAAGGTAGATTAAAGTTTTGAAGACTATCAAAATAAGACCTTTGCAGACACCAAGTCCTAAACAAAGAGCAGAAATCACTTCTACCTTCCCACTGATGGTCCAGTCGTCAGTGAACTCCCCATGAAAAACTGTGTCATCGTCTGACATCAGCAAACCCGGACCCTGTCAGAAAGCACACAGCATCAAATGTGTCACCAATACGATTAAGATTTCATCACCACATTATATTTATTTACATTTCATCATCAGGTCAGATTTAAAGGCAGGCAGGACATTTTACTAGTTCAGAATTCAAAGGCGTGAGGTGCACAGGTGCACCAGTTCTACAACATGCACTACAAACTGCAGTCCAGTCACATGTCATGGATAAGATTAGAAATGTATCGATCCTGAGTGAAACCCTTGTGTCTTTTATGTGCTTTGTGCAATATAAACAGTTGCAAAACAAGAGACATCTATAGTTAAAATTTAAGTAAATACAAAGTTGTTGTTTTTTTTGTTAAAATGTCTGACTCAAGCTAAGAACATCCCAGAAAACATTTTGCAGTTGAAAAACATCATTTTGATGTTTTTTGACAAACCCAACCTAATTAACAAGAGTCTGCTGGACGCTCTTCCTGTACTCTCTGGAAAGGGGATGTTTGTGTTTAGTAATTAATTTACAATATTATCTTATCAACTAGAGCATGATAAACTCATTTTATCAAACTGATTCACACACTGAGGTGTCTGTGTCATCCATCTGTTTCTCTTAAAAGGCAAAAGGCAGGACATGGCCTCAACAGGTTGGCAGACTGCAGGGCTAACACAGAGAAATTCACACCTACGGGAAATTTAGAATCACCAATTAACCCAACATGCACTCCTTTAGACCAGGGGTGGGCAATTCCAGGCCCCGAGGGCCTGTATCCTGCAGGTTTTAGATCTCACCTTGGGTCAACACACCTGAATCACATGATTAGTTCGTTACCAGGCCTCTGGAGAACTGCAGGAGCTAATTTAGCCATTTAAATCAGCTGTGTTGGTTCAAGGACACATCTAAAACCTGCAGGGACACCGGCCCTCGAGGCCTGGAGTTGCCCACCCCTGCTTTAGACTGTGGAGAAAGAATGGAGTGCCCGGAGGAAACCCACAGAAGGAGAACATGCACACAGAGGGCCTCTGACTGGCTGGGGGATTCAAACCCAGGACTCTCTTGCTGTGAGGCAACAGGGCTAACCACTGTAACGCTGATACTGGAGGGCAGAGAAGTGATAGGTGTGATCATCTCGCAACAACTGAGACAGAATTTACATCTACATAACCATAAAAGGATTAAAATGACCATGTATTTTAAAAAAGCATGCTTGGGTAATACTGGGGTTTGTATATGTTGTTTGGCTGAGATGAGCCTGATGTCCTTTGCTGGCATGTTTAGAGTCTACTAATGGGAGCAGCAGTGGGGTTAGCATATTTTAAATTCTGCTGTTTGAAGAAGGAAAAGCATGAGCTCTGAGCGCTCTGCACCCCTCTCCGCCATCCCAGGACCCCTTCTGGTAAGTGCTTCAGTGACATCAAAGAGAATCCTTTTTGATGATAAGCAGGATAAGTTATTTAATTATTACCTGCCGCATGTAGGATGCATTGTGTAAAATGCATTTGGTATTTTATCAACACACCACAAGCCTGCAGCTACTACCTGTCAGCACCAACAATTCAAGCCTTGTTACACCGCATGTCTCCCAACTTATCTGTTATTTCAGGTGCAGGGGTTTGTATATGCTTATTATAAACTAAAAGCTTTTTTAGAACTAACACATAGGATGAATAAAGACAAAAATGCATTTGTAAATGTTCAAACTAGTTTTTTTTTTTCTGCACATGTATTTAAATAAACCAGCAAAAAACCACTTATTAAAATGTACTCAAACTCACTCATCAGCTAACAAATTTGTAAGCACATATGTAAGCAGATACATATTTCAGGGTGTACTTACGCTCATTTTGTTCTCTCTGAAAGTTCCTTCAAAGTACACACTGTGCTGCGTGATGACGACCGCACTACCATGCCGCTGGTCATCCAGCCACATGCCCATGTACTTCTCACCTCTGGGGGGAAAATGAGATCAGGGACTGCTGACAGGAGCATGTCTTTGATACAAAATTCATTCAATGATAGGCCATCTCTAGAAACCAGGACCGATATCGACTACTGTGAACCGACCATTAGACGAAACCTTGCTCCGTCCTACCTAAGGAGATGCGTTCCACATTTAACACTTCTGAGTTTCCATATTTCTAAAATAGCAGTTTTCTTGGGGTTATTCAGACCTTGTGATGTCATCGTAGACGCCATATCCTGTCTTCTTGTCGTGGACCCACTGCCCGATGAAAACACTGGAGGAATTCCTCGCCAGTTTCCCAGAGCTCAGCATGCCGTAACCGTGCCGCTGCCCATCGCAGAAACAGCCCTCGTACACCTCGCCACTTGCATACCTGAGTATGACACATATACAGCAGCCTTCTGTGTTAGTGTGCAGAGCCCACAGCTGTGGCCACTTCAAAAAAAAAAAAAAAAAACACTGTGGAGACATGATGTTTTATTTTAGTTCCACATTTGCTGACCCAAGACATTTGTTAATAAGAGCCGATGTCTTTAAAACTTAAAAAGCTTTTATATCTGTATATGGACGTCCAGCGCTGCTACTTAACACCTGACTAAGGCAACACGTACAATTTGTGCTATCTCACACCAGAAAGTTGGTAGAAAATGTGTACTGACTTGTACTTGCCAAAACCATGGATCTTGCCCTCTCTCCACTGTCCTTGGTAGGTGTCGGTTTTATTCAGTAGTTTATTAGGGATCACACAATCTCCATAGCTGGGAAAAAAAAGTAACAGTTAGCAAAGATCAGAATCTGCGACGTGGATATTTAAAACATGCCGGAGGTGAAGTGTAGGGCAATTACATCACTATTTCTGTTTCTTTTTTATCACATGACCAAAGGCAGGAAGAGCAGAGGTTTCTTACTGGAAATGAACAACATATCCAGTAACCACCTCTGTATAAGACCAGGTTACTGTACTGACCCATCCTCCAGTCCATTCTTGAAGTTCCCCTTGTACAGTCGCCCATCCGGCCACTTCATGGTTCCTCTGTGAAGGAAAATATAGCTTCTGCTTAAACCATTTAGCCAGCGTCATCAATTAGGCTCCCCACACAAAGAAGGAATTTACACAAGAAGGCTGGAAACAGTCTTTTCTTCATTCATGCTGACTTCACTTATTGGTTTCTAGTGATTTGATTCCTCATTCATGCACATTGCTCCTCTTTGACCTAAAAACATAATGACTTCAAACCTGCGTATTGAAGAAGTGGCTCTGCTTTTTAAATATATATAAACATATTTTACATTAATCATTGTTTCTAAGAGATTCCAAAGACATAAAGTTAGATTATTTGTTTTGTACAGTGGTCCCTTGCTATAACGCAGTTCGCGGCCTCGCTGTTTTCGCTGATTTTTTATGTCCAATTTTGCATGTTTTTTTTTTTTCTTACAACGCATTGTGTTCTGCACCCTGATTGGCTGTAGACCACTGTCAATCAATCTCGTGCCGTGTCTCCTGTACACTAAAGAATGCGTTCAGCTTGACAAATTTACACAAATCTTCAATCGCTAACAGTGTGACACTGAAGTGCTGTACTGTATGTTTGTAAGTTTTCTCCCCGACAAACACAACAACGTCGACGAGGCGTTTTGCACTGTCAAAGGCAACAGCGGGTGCTTTTGGTTTCATTCTATAATACTGGACTTTTTTTTTTTTCTTTGAAGTTTTTAACTTTGAGAGTGTTTAAACAAGAGAGTAGTAAGGGGTTTTACAGCCTTAAAACATCTATAATAATTGTAAAAAATAAAGTTGGATACTTCGCGGATTACACCTATCGTGGGTTATTTTTAGAACATAACTCCCGCGATAAACGAGGGACCACTGTATTGCTAACTGGCTGTTTTTTGGTATTCAAGTTGTATTGGAAACCTATTGAGTTGGGCACATTGTTTTATGCATTTATGCGTGACAAAATAATACAGTTCCATTAAATCCTGTTATTATTGTTTGATTTTACAGGTGTATTAAATGAGGAACATTTTTAATGTTCTCCTAAATGATGCCTTCAGGGGCCCTTAAAGAGAATGCCAAAAACATACAAACATGTTTTCTAACCTGCCATGAACCCGTCCTGCCAACCAGCTCCCGGTGTACTGAGCATCTTTGAACCGTTCGTCTGCCGTGAACGTGTAGGAGGCCGTGCGAGTCATTGCTGGTGACGACCCCTGACCTCCGCCGCCCAGTATCTGATCCACTGTCTGGTTAAGAGATCGTAACCACTTGTTCTGCAGAGAAAGAAGCACAGAACCGAAGGTGACGCTTTAAGACGGAATTCGATCTCAAAAAAAACTTTTTTTACAAACTGATTTTGAAAAACTGAGCAACAGTAATGGTTTAAACCATAAATGTACCTTTTCCTGCGGTGTTGAGGCCACCAGGGTGAAACTCTCCTCTGGACATGTTATTTTGAGGGCATGACTGAAAATATGCAGCACAAGAGCAATAATTAACTTAATTGGTACAAAAAAAACAAGGAGGTGGATCTTTTAAATATTGTATTACAAATGACATCCAACTTCCACTCCCTAAACACTTTGTAGGCTGGAGGTCCAACTTAAAAATATTTCTAGAATTAGATCACTCTTGTCTCCTGCTGATTTTCATAAGGTCATGCAATGCTCTGCAAGCTGGAATAAGTCAGAGCTCACTCCACTGATCCCAGCTGCTCAGATTTTAAAATCTGACTCATAAATAAAAAGCATAAATGACATCCTTATAAGTACATGAAGTGCTTATTACCATCTTATTAGTCTGGGGGTTGAACGGGACTCTACTGGCTATTCTGGGGTCTCAGCTAGCAAACAAAGGTGACAAATGTACCAGTACTTTTAAAAGTAGATGATTTAAAGAGCAGTAGGTTTCATGGGAAGTTAACCATAACCATGGCTTAATGTTTTGCTGCTTGTTGCCTATCCAATGAATACAAAGTAAATTAAAAGATTAAAAAAAGATCCCCGCATGGATCTCACTGCTCCCATGTTGCTGTTGAGGCTATAGTGTTGCATAAATGTTTTTATCAGAGCGACTAACATTCCTTTACTTCGCATTAGTCAGCATGTAGATTGATTTCTACAACAACAAACTCACAGTCCGCTGCCGTTTTCAGTGACCGGTTTCACCCACAAACAGGTCAGAGGGTAGACGTGATGAGTGGAGAACTGCACACAAAGAGGGAGAGCAGCACTTTTTCTGTAATTCTCACATATTAGGTAACAACGCGCTGTCTGAGATTACAAAACTTTAGAAATGATCAAATCTTACTCTGTGTGTGTGTGTGTGTATGTTAGAGAGGGAGAGAAGAGGATAGATGACCAAAAGATATGCCTTTATAACTGTCTGTGGTTTCCTGACTGTGTGCTGGTAAATTGGGGAAGTCCAACGTCTTTTGAGTTCAGCTACACTACCCTACATTAATAAGGCAGTTTCCTCTATAAACTTATGACCTTTTATGATGTTTCAGTTGTTTTCAACATGACTTGTGTTTTAATATTCAAAGTAATTGACTGTTTTAAATTCCTTTTTATATCAATTACAGTTAAAGGTCCATAAAAGCTTGTTTTTTTAACTACATGAGATGTAACCATTAAGTTGTGTGACTCCTACAATATAATCCTGATTTAAATTTGGATGACTTCTCCTTCAAGGACTTCTGCTGCTTTTAGGTCTATCTGTAGAAGTCTTGTTCTGACCATTTGAACATGTGAGCTGAAAACAGAAGCATAGAAATGACAACCATGCTGGACGTGGACACACAGAAGTGAGTGTTGGACCTGTCAGGGTTTCACCCTCGTCTTTGATCCATGAACAGGATTTTAAGGGATAAGCAGGGGTCCATTTTTTGACCCTCGGAATAGCATTTCTGCTTTTTGCAGATGTAGTTCTGTTGTCTTTAGTGGTGCGTGACCTTCGATTTTGTAGCCAAGTGTGAAATGGCTGCGATGACAATCAGCAGCTCAAAGTCTGAGCGCTGTAAAACAGTGGAGTGCTCCCTCTGGATCTGGGAAGAGACGCTGCCCCAAGTGAAGAACTCTCATCATCTTCTTTGCCAGTACTGAGAAGATAGAGGTAGACCAGCAGAGTGGTGCAGCGTGTGACTGGATTGTCATGACAAATTCGTTTTCTCTTGAATGACTGGATAGTAAAGCGAGAGTTCCAACTCTCACCTATGGTAAGGAGATCTAAAAACCAAACAAGTAAAATCACCTGAAGATCTTCTGGGCTAATTCTTAGGGAAACTCAGACATCCAGAAGGAATTTGAAGCCTTTGCGCCTTTGTGTGAAAAAAGAAGCTAGCAGAGATGGTGAAGCATCTGCTCATGGATGACTCATGAATGGAGGGTTTTTGGGCACATCTAACATCTAAGAGTGAAAGATCCAGAACTCACTGAGAGATTTTATATCTCATTGGGCCTGGGAATTCCTCATGATCACTCAGGAGGAACAGGAAAGAGATGCTGGGGAGAAAGATGTCTACAATATCCTGCATAACCTGATGGCAGATAAGCAGAATTGAGTTGGTGGATGCCCGGATGGGTAGACGGACAGACAGATGGATGGATGGATAAGGTGAAGACCTTGAAGGGGAACTGACCAGCTTTAATTTTTGATTGTCATGGGAAGAATTAACATTTCTTAGTGCACATTGCATACCAACCACATTTTACAATTATAAGACTTATTTATGATGCACAAAATGACTTTTAATACATCAACGGTTGCTCAAAGTTTTAACTCACAACACGTGACATGAGCCCAACACACCACACCACATCAAACAGGAAACAGAGTCTCAGGAAGAAACTGCTCTAAAACCAAAAAAAGTAGCCAGAGAGGACAAGCTGACAGTAAGTGTAAGAATAAAGAAGCCATCATCTGGAAGAAATCAGTGACAGTCTCCTTGTTTAAAGCTAGACCACAGCAGTGAGAGATGCATCCTTTCACCATCACCCTTCCAAGCTCTGAACTACTGCAGCTATGACCTCATCTACTTTCACCACTAACTAATGTTGGAAAATCTTCTAAACACAAATGAATCCACACACAGCAGCCTGCTGAGCAGCAGCTGGACAGAATCAGCCATCAGGACCACATGCACAGAATAAATGTTAACACAGGACATCTGTAATGCTGGAATATTACAAAGGCCAATGATCACTGTTTGTTTTAGCCTCATTCATGTTAACTGAGTGGACAAAATATTAAAAACAGAGTATTAGGGAACATAATGGCCAGCAATTCTGACATCAAAGGAAAAATTAATTTATGAACAACGCAAGCCATCGTTCATCATTATACAAACAGACAACGAATTCTTAGTTTAGTTGTAGATCAGTCGATAGTTTGTTCTGTCTTTTCATTTACTATCAAAGGACTGACCAGTTGCCGTAGATGTGATCCCACCAGTGAGACTCTTGTCTCTCAGGTAGACCAACTTCAACTCCACCATCTTATTCTGCTGTGAAGATTTGGTGCAAGCTGGAGGGCTACTCCAACTAGAGGTGAATAGGTTTGTGTGCTGCCAACCCAAGCTCAACAAGGCTGCAAAGCAGAGCATAGACTAGTGTCGCCAAGTGCTACTCAAGAAGATGGAGCTGGAGCATGTCCACAGGATGAGAGACTCACTGGTGAGCCAGTTAATTATTCGGCCTATATGATATTTGCAGAGCTCCTATTTCTGCAGGGGAAAAAAATCACCTCAGATCTTTGAACTAACAGAAGAACTTGCTTCTGAAAGTATATAAAGCCCCAGATCTTCAAGCACCTGTAATACCTGTCCTGTATTAACATTTATATAGCTGCATTCAAATCCTAGTTGATCCTGTCAGAGTGGAAGCACTGAACAGATGCCGGCCCACCTACAGTATGCTGCTGCAGCTCAAGCTCAAGCTCAGTTACAGTTATGTCTGTTATTGGAGGTAAACTGGTGGAAGGGATACTCACGAAGCTCTGAGAGGGAATTGTACCCTGAATAAAAGACACAATGTTCATATGTAAGCTTCAGCTGTAAATCAATGCAGATGACCAGAAATCACTGTCAGCAGAGATCCTTTGGGTTTTCTCTGGTGTACAGTGAGTGTTGTTGTTGTTAACAAAAAAATGAAATAACGACAATTTTAAAAGACTTAAAGGCTCCTTTATACACTGCTTCCCCCAACATGAATTTATGCTACTAACATAAAAAAGAAAAGCACTTTAATATATCTGATTTCATACTGACTTATTCTGAGTACCTGTGTGTGCACCAGGGCGTCATTGAACAATATGAACCAGTGATTTGAGAACCGCCCGGCGTTCTGCGGAGTCAGAGATCGGTTGCTGCTTTCACAGACCACACGACGCCTAGGAAGACGCAGGCACTCCTGAAGAACAAAATCACACACATAAATTTCCTTAATAAAACCCGGAGTACTCTGGTAGCTCATAAGCTGCAACACATGTCTCATAACTTAATGTGTTTTCACACAGGATGTGGAAGAGGCTGCACTCTGAAAACCATTACTTTCAACAGACTGTACTGCACAATGATGGGTTGCTGCTTTGCAGAGCAGCGTGCACTTCAGATGCTCTTGCAGACACCTTGATCAAAGTGCAACAAATTTAAATATACGGTGATTTATATTTGTCTGGGAATTTGATGAATTTACAAGAGGAAACCCTTGGAAACAGGTTTCTGTGCAAGCAGACACCTCAGGTGTATGTTTTTACACACCAGTTGCTCTACAGATCTATTATAGTTCTTTAACAACTGAAGAAAGGAGGTGCAGAAAAGAGACTGACATCCAACTGAAAGTATTCAAAACTGTACCTATTTGTTTTGTCTTTGAACAGCATGCTACACCCATCAGTGAGAACTACCCTATTACTTTAGCCAATGAAATGCAGGGCAGGGCTGTTCAGGGCAAGTTAATACTCTGGGAATCAGCTCAGTTTGAAAAGGAGCACTTAGAGAGTGCTGCCAGGAAGGCTAGTGGCTCTAGGGAGTGAAATAAAATTTAGAAGCACACTTGTTGTCATGGGTTAAAACCTCAAAGGAAAGCATAGTGACTAATGTGTATAGACTAGAAAAAAATTACAGGATGCAGGCACATAAAACAGAGTTGTGCTCACAGTAGTTTTGCCAGAGTGGGTCTTCCAGAACAGGAAGGTGGTTTCAGCCTCCTTCTTCCTTCTTAGCAGTGATGAAGACAGGGACTCGCAATCTTTATGACCCTGATCAAGGGACTTATACTCCACAGTTAACTGGGGAGAAAAGGAAAGACAGCACGACAGAGAATTTTGTACACCTGAACATATAAAAGACTTGAAGTCAATATAGTGACATTAACAACCACTTGTTCTAATGTTGCTCAGTCATGGGAACGAAACAGAAAGTGAGGGAACGGAGCAAGGGAAAGAGAGAAGAAAAAGAAGGGGGAAGGTCAAAAAAGTGCTTGAGACAAAAAGAGAGAAGAGAGATTTTCTCACCACATCATAGCAGGCCGCCAGTTTGAGCAGGGCTCGGCTGTACTGGTGGAGCTGCTGCAGAGGCCAGTACAACATTGAAACCAGATCAACATCACCACTGGCTGACTGATCTGATACGGACAGCTGAGTGAGCAAAGTCTGCCGAAAGCCTAAACTCTCACTGGGCAGGAACAGAGACAGGCAGAGACAGATACACTCTTAGAATAACACGTCTGTCAAGTGACTGGGATAAGTTTTATGCTTTTAGTTTAGTCACAAAAGAAGAAAACATACAAGAACATGTATTTGCAAATGAAGAGAGCTGCACTCCTACAGTGAGCACTTAAGAAAAATAAAAGTGCTTACAGCGAGAGTTTGTGAAGTGGTTGGAATCCGCCCATTACTTGGAAATCACCAAGTGAAGAAAAAAACCTAGAGTCAGACAGAGTGATTTTAACTTAGATTTTACCCCTCAGTGACACACAAGATACACCTTTACAAAGTCAAGTGAACTTGCAAGAGCTTAAACCCTCCATCTCAAATTAGAGGCATTTGTACTATTAAAGATCATTTGAAATATGTTTGTCTTCCTGGCTTGTTTCTTTTAACTATCTATAAGCTTAAACAAGATGTGATGAAACCTAACCTGATCACAGCGTAAGTATGTGTGATCCCGAATTTCAGGAGGGTTTGCTTGTATGTAAAGTAATTCTAGCCACAGCACTATAACTGCTTTGTAATGCATGAATAAACAAAGCATCATGAATGTGCAGCTGACAAATCAGCAACAACTGTGTGATGCGATCATGACAACATGGATCAAAATCTCTGAGATATTTTTCCAGCATCTTGTTGAATCTATGCCGCAAATAATTAAGGCAGTTCTGAAGGCAACCTGCTACAAGTAAGGTAACTAATACAGTCACCAGTGAGTGTAAAAACTGAAAAAAAAAAATGGAGAAAAGGGGATAAAAAGGCATCACAGGGATTACTGACATAAACATGAGTATGTCTGTTCATGTTTTCTTTGAGGGAATCACATGATGGGACTTTTGTTTGGTGAGACAAAAAAACCCAACTCACCTTTTGTATGTGTCAATGAAATACTCTGTGTGTGTCAGCAGGGGAAGGGTAGTGACATCACAGCCCTGCACGTTATGCAGGAAGTAGGTGAGTGCTGTGGCATGTTGGCCAATCAGGGTGCTCAGCTGAACAAAACTCTCACACAGAGAGAAGAAGAGATGAGAGCACTGCTCACCCAACACTGGACACAAACTTTCTGCAGATGAGAAAACACACACACACACACAAACACTAATTTTAATAAATGTTTTAATTAGGCAGAACGAGGCAGTAGATGCTCTCTGACCTCTTTTACGCAGAGGGGTGAGGAGGATCTTCCTGACGCTGCTGCACCAACAGTACAAGTGCCTCTCTCTGGAGGCCAGCTCGTGGATAGCCGAAATAAAACCCATGACATTGTGGTCTGCCAGCACCGCACAGCTCTGACCTCCACTGCACACACTGCTAACGTAACCCATCTACACACACACAGCAAAAACAAGAGGGTAACATTTAGGTTACAATTACAGTTAGAGTTAGGCTGGTGTGAGTAAGAACTTCCATCTCATAAATATGTTCGTGCTTTAGCGGAAAAAATGCTCCACCCATCATTTTCCTTACTGTCTGTGTTAAGTTGCGCTTTGGACCTACAAACCTCAATGCAGAAGGGCAGCAGGGTGGGCATGACTGTATAACGCTCCACTCTGTTGGGTGACCTCTTGCTTGAGCTTTCACTCTGGTTTAGCCTCTCAGTTTGCACTGGCTCCTTCTGTTGGCCGCAGTACAACAGGACTGGCTGCACACAGTCTCCATCAGCCAGGAGCAGGGTGTGGCTCTGACCGGCTGACAAGTCCCAAACACGAAGCCCATCAGACAGCTATGGTGGTCCACCCACAACGAAACAGAGTAATATTAGGAAATGGATGGTGTTGCTATGTTTTCCTACATTAGCAAAAATAATAATCTATGTGAATGACTAAATCTTTGGCTAGAAGTGTGAAATGTGTGAATTAAATTTTAAAAAATGGGATGAGATTTCTGTACCTTCGCCTGCTGAGGGACAGTGACGGGGCTGTTCACGTGGCCGAGTTGTCCACACATGTTGCTGCCCCATGAGTACACCTACAGCACAGAAGAGATGAAATAGGGGGTGAGCATGCACTTACATACAAGTAATGCTTGAAACTTGAGACCTTGAAAAATAACATGATTAAAGTATCATAAGACAGTTAATTACATCTTATTTTTAAGATTGAGTCACAAATGTTGATGTTTAATTAGGATGTCTATTAGCATTTTGTTAAAGCATAACTCATCTTTCTGGACTTCTCATTAAAACATACAGAAATGTTAAGCTCATCTCAGCATGCAAGTACAAGTAGCAATATTTAGTAGGGTAAGGTCTCCAGAGCTTGGGAGCATTTAATGTCAAAGGGGGTACTTAGAAATGGCACCTGTTTGTCTAATCATGCTAAGTGTGTGCCGTTTTTGTTACCTGGCACTGAGCAGTGAGAGCCAGTGAATGGTGTGAGCCTGCAGCAACTTTGATCACTTCTTCACCTGTTAAAGACTTGATGCATAGAGGCTGGAGTCTGGACACACAAACACAGTTCACTCGAATCTTGTGGTTATAATTTCTTTCTTTACACATTTCCAACTAATTCAATTGAGCATTTCATCCCAAAAGGTTGTATCTAATTGTCTTTTAATGTAAACCTGTTCAATTCACCTTTAAATAATAATTATGCTTATTACATCATCATAGACATATCGTAAATACAATATAGACATTTTAATTTTAAATATCACTGTTACACTTTATTTTTGGTCCCCACCTGGCGAGCTGATCTCCATGACCAAGTTGTCCCTCAGAGCCACGGCCCCAGCTCCAAATCTCTGTCTCCAGAAATGGCAGGCCATCTTCTGCCTCCTCTGGTGCTCCAGCCGGAGCCCCACCAGCTGAGGACGGCCTGCAAGCACAAGGGTGTCGCCTCCGAGGAGACCCTAACGGAAAAATACACGAGCAGAGTAGAGTAAAACTTTAATGTCCCTGTGGGGGAACCTGCTTTGCAGAGAGTAGTCCATGTATAAAAGATGCTTGGGATTCAATATGATGGTTTGTCGTTACATTAAGACTACCACACCAGCAAATCACAGAATAAGAAAGCATTGACTGAATAAAAGAAAAAATACACTAGGTGAGGACATTCAAATAACTGAATCCTCACATAATTGTCATATTTGAGCATTTATCTATATTGTAAATTGAGTTTTTCATTAAAATTACATAACTCTAGTACAAAATGTTTTTTGTCAATGTTTCAGAATGATCTTGAAATCCTAAAAAAGCCTAGATGGACTTGAGCAATCTTTGAGTAATATGAATGTTATTGCTACAGAATACAATCTGCAGTGTTTCCCACAATCAGCTGAATCAACATAGCTTCAGGATGATCCATTGAAAATGAATTCAGACTGGCCAAGGGGCGACTCAACAGATAAAGACGCCAGTATCTCCCAATATTTTGAGCATAAACTAAGGAAGGGGATCGTTATTGCTTGTGAAAACAAACTTTCGTGGCTCTTCTGAGATTTTAAGAGATGTCATTAATTCAGAAAATTCAGTGTTTATGTCTTCTCTGCAAACAAACTGCATCAGAGTTCAGTGCAGTGTTATTGACCATGCTACATGAGCAAACGCAAACAAACCGCACCCACAAGGGTTTGCATGAACACACCCTAACGACTCACAGAGCTTCGCTACTTCACTGGAATCAACATGTGCCACCTTGTACCTACAAAATACTTAAACTAACCGGGAGCTGAGTCAAGCTGTTGAACCAGGATAAGCAGGCACAGAGCAGAAAGTCACAACATCAATAAAAACATTCTGCTATTCAATATATCTAATATATTATTATTTTTTTAAACAAGGCTTTTCAGCAAAAACCTAAAATGTCAACGTGGTTTTCATTTCTGCGTCGGCTGACGAGACACTTTCATTTTTACGCTCCTGAAACTCCTGGAAAACCAGAAACTGAGAGTCTGCCGGCCCTTGTATGGCACAATCAATGTATTTCATACAACCCTTATTAAGTAAAGTTATTTGAAATCATTAGCACAGTCATCAGAAATTACCAGTACTAGTATTGGGATAGAGTTATATAGAGAGAGTATAAGGTGTTTGCTAAAATGGGAAAACTGTGTAAACTTGAATCCTAAAAAAATGAAGAACTCTAGAACTCTAATTCCACTGAAAATGCAACATGAAAAAGTGAACTGAAATAAACCCATTGCGGGTTTACTTCTTATTCTATCAGGTAGTGAAATTGGAGAAGCAAAAGTATGTGGCACAATAATCCATTCATCTCGATTGTGTTGTTTTAATAGAGGCTAGAAGGTAACGTTTTAATTAAAATCTGATAAAATGCCTGTTAAAATATTCTTATCATATTCCAAAACAGCTTTCCTAAGATCCTCTGATCCAAACAAAACAAAGGAGGTAATTTATTACAGGACACCAAATGTAAAATTAGATGTCCAGCAAGCTTTACAACATTTCATGACTTATTACAATAAAATTCTCACAAAGTTCTTTCAAGAGTTGAGGGCTAAAGACTTGGTTGAATTAGGTTACGCGAGAGTGTGGCACTTACTAGTGATGATTAAACTTAAAGGTAATATTAAAAGTAAGATGATTAGTAATGCATTATTATATCTTCACAAAGACAGCCAAACAAAATTAGAAATTGTGTGGGTGCTGCTCATCGAATGTATGTGATAAACTGATCATCAGCAGCTGTCACCACCTCTACAAATGCAGAAGTTTTGGCAATTTTCTGGTCTGGAGCATTCAGTTGTGTGTTAACACAATCCCACAATCTTCCCATGAGTGGACGTCCCAAGGAATTCACCCAAAGGTCAGACTATGCAATGCTCAGATAAGTTAGGCCTCAGTTAGCATGTTAAAATATTGCGTTCATGAAGAGCGGTCCAAAATTCCTCCACAATGATGTGAGAGACTGATCCAGTCATACAGAAAATAGTTACTTCAAGTTATTGCTCCTAAAGGAGGTTTTACAAGCTACTGAATCATGAAGTGCCCTTAATTTTTAAGATGGCTGCAAACAGTCCTGTGAAAACTTTCTTTGCCCCTCCTCCCCGTACACAGAGTGGATCAGGCAGAGGGCCACTTGTAAATGAAAGTGACCCAAAGTATGAGAACGGATAACCCAAATAATCTCATACTCTGCAAAGCACTTACACATGTCCCCAGTAATGCAAGGGCCAACACTGACTGGACTGGACAAGCAGTTGTCAAGATAAGCACAAAACAGGTAGATGTACAGAGAGATTTCTCAACTTATTGGTGAGACCAAATGACATTTTCAGGCTACTTGAATGTCATTTTTTATAGAGATTGAGAAATGCTTTAATAATGAAAAAAGATATATTCAGAAAGCAAGAATAACCTTGATTGACTTATCAGTTTATTGAACACATAAGCTCAAGTTTTAAAAGATATGTTGGTCTTAAATGCGTCAAAGTGAAATGCAAACACAGGCAGGAACTGCGCTGTGTGTTCTGTTGCAGGTAATCGACAAAAGTGCCAGATAGCGTATAAACGTGTTCAGTCCATACTGCTATATTTCACTAATTACTAATGTAAAAAGTTAAAATTCATAATCAAACACAATCCTAACAGCAGTTCCTGTAGTTCCAAAGCTAGAACTACAGGAATTACCTCTTGTTTGTTCATTTCAAATACAAGTACAGATGCAAAAAACTAACAGCTGTGGTTTTACACAGAATCAAATGGTGTGTCTGTTTTTTTGTTAATAGCTTCTCAGTGTCTTGATGAAAAGCTATGCTAACAGTCTCCTGGCTCCATATTTTGAGTTTGGGGAATCTTCTCATCTCACTCTTGAAAGTAAAGTAAATAAGCTCATTTCCCAAATGTACAGTTAAGCTGTTCACACCCTATCATTCCTACCGTGGGTGGGTGTTCCAGGAAGCGAGCTTCTCCTGCTCGTTGCCGTTTTCCCCTTCTGGTGTATGTTTGTGAGACTAGAGCTCTTCAGTCCCTGCAGGGACGGCTTTTCCTTCTCCAGACAGAGTCGAACTTCATTCAGACACACTGGGGAAGAGGAGTGTGACCCAGACAGTCCACTGTTACTGTGGAACAGAAGGTCAAATGTTAAGCTGCTAATACCCTGAAGATAACAGACATCCTGGCAGGGCGTGTATCTGCATTAGTCGACGATTATTATTCATGCTTTGCAGTTCTGGGACACGGTTTTGAAACACAGTCTTACTTGTGCATTTGTCTCTTTGTATTTAAGTCATCTTTGTAACTGGAAGTCAGCAGGTCAGAGGAAGGAGTTGAGGAAATGCAGCTGTCGTCTGGATAGAACAGATAAGAGAAGAGAAAACATTACAGAAAGCAGCAAAAAACAGCAATTGAAAACAAAGGAATGAGTGAAGGATGAATCAAGAAGAGAAAAACAGTCAATTATATTAATTGTTACATTAAATGATAAATTTCAAAACATCGAAGAGACGAATATCACAAACCTGAGGTGTGGCTGCTCAGTGAGTCAGTGTCTTGTTTATCTAATGACTGATCAGAGAGTTCCTCAAGGAGATTTTGCAACTCCAGGTCTTCAGAGAAGTTCTTGTTGGTTCTCCAGCCTGACAGCAAGTGCACTTTTGGGCTGCCGTCAGTCTCTGTTACACTGTCAGTTTGACCCTGAGATTCAAGGGTTGGGCTAAAGTTTTCCAGTGGAGGAAAGGCAAGGAAAGACAACTATGAGAGTTAGGAATTATTTTTAAAATTAAGTGAGTTATGTAGTAACGTACTGTTTAGTGTTAGATTTGCTGTCATCAGAACCAGGACTGCTGCTTGCTGATGTTGCTCCAGCCCGGAGCCTTCGTCTGGGTCCTCGAACTTGGAAAGACGTCTGTGAACACAAAATGACAAGGGGTATCACACATTGTTGAGAAAGCTATGGTTCCTGATTATGTAAATTACTTGTTTTTAGTCAATTTTCAACAATTACACACCTGTAAAATGTTGGAACTGGACATTATTCAGATTAACAGGATGTTGAGGCTTTATATACACTCACTAATGCGATAAAACATCATGATTGCACCGCCTAACACACTGTTGGTCATTTACATGTCACCAATAGCGACCAACAGTGTGTTAGGTGGTGACACATTCAGTAGTGACCCATTCAAATAACTCTGCTGCAAGGGAGGGAGGGAGGAAGTGGCCTTTTTATGACCGGTCAGTTTCCTTCACACTTCCTGACTGGCAGCTCTGATTAGCTGTGCCGTACCTTTTTTTTTAAAGCTACATTTTTATTTTTTTACATTTTTTTACAAAAAATAAATAAATAAAATTCAAGAAATTACCTACAACCATATCCTTTTTGGCCTCATTACACAAGTAAAACTGAACATCAGTATACTTGTGGAATGTATGCCAGAATAACTCTCACTGTTTAGAGTTTTATTCCATGCTTCCCACTTGACCTGGTCAAAATTAGCGGATTTGGACACAGAAAGAATCACAGATAGAAGATGAGCCTCAAATTAAAATGTAGTTATAAAGAAGAGCTTTCATATGCTAGAACTTGTTTTGACCACCCATGCCACATGATGGTGTGACTCTTTAAAGTTCACCCCGTGTATTATCAGAATTTAAACATACAGGGCACTGATGCTTGTTTCTTTTTCTCTACATTTTTCTACAGAAACTGTGATGTATCCTTTAATATTGATGCTCCAAGACAGTTATAGAAAAAAGCTGAACAAAAATTATATTTTGGCTTGAGATTGTGATAATTGTAAAGTGCTCACATTTGTTTTTAAAGACTTCAAAATGCGTTTCTCCTGTACTTAAAACTCCTATATGGAATTAATAGCTGCATTCATCTTATTCTAGAGTATTCACAATAATTTGCTCTACTGTTGTAAGTACTGGCAGTTATTTTACAATTTGTGTAGTCCCCTTTTCATTATTGTTCTTTTACTTATTCCTGTTTGTATTTTTATTTACCTCTCCTTTCATCACTTCAGTTAACTCCACTCCGAGTGGGCAGTAATGAGAATCCTCAACTGCTGAGAGCTCCTCCCTTTCTGTCACCGAGTAGTGGGGTGACTGGCCTCGCTCCTTCTTCTTAGGGGCATGCTGGGTATTATAGTCCTGAGGAGGTAACCTGCGGACAAGAGCCAGGCTGTGGTATGCACCGCAGGCCACCTGCAGGAAGAAATACAGCCAGTAAAGCTAAAACAGAACATCACAGCTTTGGAGGTTTAACATGGCAATGAAATTAGATTTTACCTGAATCACATGTCTGCCTGCCAAGTGTTCCACCTTTGGACACAGAGGATAAAGAACACAAGAGTAAATGAACCATTTCATAAATTAACTAATACTTTAAAATGTCTAATATTATTAACATGTACTGAGAAAACGGTTTAACCATTTACACTCGAGCACCTATTTTCCTGTTTTGTGATATTTGTATGAGCTGTATAAATAAATTAGTAGTGACACTTGTTTAACTATTGCTACAGCAGTACTTCATGTCATTTAATTCATTAACAACTTACAACTACATTTAACAGGGAAGGTTTTTTAAATCTTCATTCATATCTATAACAGGAAAAGAGTTGTAGTATTACCTTCTGTGGTTTCCCCACAGGGAAGGTGTTGGTGACCAGGCCGAGTTGGCAGCCACTACCCCACGCCCACAGCTCGTTCTGAGCTGACAGAGCCAGGCTGTGTTCCCGTCCACAGGCAAGGTCCACAATTCGAACCACCACTGGAGGAACGACCTCACCGTCCACCACGATGACAGGACAAGGCTCTGGAACTGTGGGGTAATTTTCTGTTTCATTTAAATCATATTAAGCCTGACATAGAAGTAAATAAATGCCTCTTTTTAACTGTTTCATCTAATTTAACAAGTTTTTATTTGTCAACCTCATATCTACTATCACCATTGGTGCTTTAAAAATCAGTTTTAAGGCCTCATAAACACGTAGCTGGTAAATTAATATCAGCATTTATAAAGAACGTAAATAAAAAAATAAACCATGTTGCAAAAAATGGGAGGAAGCACTGACAGAAAATGGAAGTTTCACAACAATGGATAAAAGTAATGAGAAAAGAAAGTGTTGAATCTCTGACAAAGAACAGAAGTAAAAGATAAGCGAGAAAGAAGCTGACGGAGGTAGTGAGGAAGGAGGGAAGTTACAATGGAGAGCAGAGGCTGAACACAAGGGTAAAAGTTAGGAACATTCAGAAGAAAGGTGTTAACTAACCGGTGATGTTTGTGACTGTACCCTTCTCTGTTTGCCCACACTGTCCTGCAGTATTCTCCCCCCACATGTAGACGCTACCCTGCTCGCTCAGTGCACCGCAGTGGAAGCCGCCAGCAGCCACACGGACCACCGTCTTTCCCAGCAGAGAGACCTCTGGCACCGGAGCAGACACGGGGACGCTCAGATCCCTCCATAAAAGCTCTCCAAATGAATACACCTGACCACCTGAAAGACAGTAACATCTGAGAAGAAATGCAGTGATGAAGCATAAATGAAAGTGGGGCCTTCTTTACTACAATCAAACTTACCCTGTGCGAGCAGGAGGCCGTGGTGTTCCCCCAGGGAGACCTGCAGCACGGGCCTGGACAGCAGCACCCTATCTGGACAGAGCTGCCTGCTGTGGCCCGCTGAATGCCAAACATGGAGGAGTCCTCGGTCTGGAGATGTGGGAGCCTGCTCATCTGCGAGGCTGCAATGAAGCGTGAAAGATTAAATAAGCAAGTCTTAATAAGTCTGTGCATTCAGATGTGATCAACCTGAACAGATTCTCCAAATTCTGCACCTGGAAACCACTACTGCAGAGATTAGATGTGGTTTAGTGACACAACTTTGAGTGACAGATGGATTATATTCCATCACATCCATCTGTCAAACAATAATTATTTGCTCAATGTCTGCCGACGAACAAGTCTGTGCAGCTTACACAGCCCTCATACTGAACTAGACACAAATATATGACAGGATTGGGACTAAAAATTAGCTTAGGGTATAGAACTTGTGGCATGTGGCACGTGTTTATGATATATACACATGTTCCTGTACCAATAAACAATAAATAAACAACTGAGTATAGGCACACCTAGTAAGGTTCTGATATTCCTGTTTGTATGTAATCAAAGCTGAAAATGTTACAGATACAGGATTTCTGAGTATGTTACAATAGAATTTATTGTTTCTCTGCACTTTAATGGGGAACATAATTCACAAAATAGACATCATGTAGTATTCAATAACAGTGGAATTTACTGACTGAAACTCTAAATTAATCAAGATTGTATTTACTGAGGGCACGGTCAAGGGAGCACAGACAAAGGTATCTCCCCCTGCTCACCATCAGCTTTAAGGCACTTCAGCACTGGCATTACTTTTCAGACCTAGAAGCTCTGTCTATTCTTTTTATACAGTACAAAACCAAACCAAAACTCTCACATTATTAAAAAATGTACTTCTGGTATTGTGTATTTTCTGTGTGATTATGAAATGCACACACCACTGTGGGAAACTTTTGAATAACCCCTCATTTCTTCATATTTTGCTTTCAATAAGTCAGACTTCTACATTTTTTAAAGTAGTCTTAAGCAATAGTTCTTCAAGCTTTCTGGAGATCTCTGAATTCTTTTTCTTTGGTCATTCCAGTCCCTGTATCCGGCCATTTTAAGATTAATGCTTATTTGGTTTGGTTGTTAAACTTACCCTATGAATCACTAAAGTATTAAAAAGGCACCTAACTCAAGAGATGAACCATGGTTAGGGTAAACACATAACAGTGAAACTTGCCAAAGAAGCAATTCTTAAATTTCTATCTTTATATACTCTATTACAAGCAGCCTGGCACAAAACACATCATTTGTTCCAGTTTCTTTATTTGACTCTACAAAAACATTGGAGGAATCACTAGCTACACTCCATGAGACAGGAAGAGGAAATGATGGATGGAAATTACTGGTGTGGTTTACAGGGTGGAAGAGCAGGGCTTTGAGGAGCTGGTTAAAAACATCCCAGGTAAAAAATATTGTTTAGTCTGTAACAATAGTGTGCAGCTTCTGAAAAAGTTACAAGGTTAAGTTAATTTATTTTTTCACTTCTACATTTTAATTTAGGTAGTCTGTAATAATAGACAGCATCAGAAAACAAGGATGCCCATCATTTACTTACAGTTATGAATGTTGATGCCTGTAATCATCAGTAAAACCTTGTTCAGAGCTTGTTTTCCTCTATTATCAGAAATATCAGAATCAGATGAGAAAATTGAAGAGCAATTCTCTCAGTTCAAAAGAAGACACAGTCACTCAATAAAATTTAATTTAATTAATATAAAGAAATGAGGAATGACTCAAGACTTTTGCACAGTGCTGTAGTTATAACCATTAGCATAAAAGTTTCGCTTGAGCTGTAGTGGAAATGAAATTATAGAAGAACTAATGTTTACTGGAATACTTATTTACTGAACAGAAAAGGTTCAATAAGTAAGGTTTAATTAAACTTTAATTGTTATTGTTTTTGAGTAAATGTCCACCAACAGTGATTTTTTTCTTATGTTCTCTTCTATGACTTTCAATATCCCTATGAGAAGAGCATGCTTGTTTATATTTCTGTATTTGTGAATGTCGATATATGCCCATTTGTGAATATATGGAGCTAATGAGAGCTTAATAAAACACACAAAAAAACTTGTAAGTTGCAAAGCAGTTTCTCTTAGATTAATGGTATGAACTTTGTGTTTTAATGTACATAAATAAAAGTTTAACACACTGCTTGAGAGATTGTCCAAGATTAAATGAAGGCTAAAGGTATAAAGGATCTTGCTTTTATGTTCAACATGTTTCCACTTAAAACAAGTTTCTCAGAGATTATAAAGCCAAGGTCTGCTGAAAGCGCTCCTATGTGCTTACCTTGCCTCTGGAATCTCCATCACTTCAGGCTCCCCATTCCTCAGTACACTTATGACACTTGTATGTTCATTTCTTCAAAGCTCTTCTTTGTTTTCCCTCTGAATGACTCAGCTGATAGGAACAAAGTGAATCCTCTGTCCTGCTGCAGTGCCTCGTTGGTTTATCAGGCTCCAGGGGCTTATTTGGTACAACAACCACAAAGACACATTCAGTTTATCACTTGATGCAACTCTGGCATGTACCAAAAACACTTAAGTCATTATGTCAGTTGGTTTTCTCTGGTTCAGATGTAATAACATGCAATAACATTTGTCCCAATGTTTGCATATGACTGAAATGTGGTCAAGAGCTGTTTTCCAAGGCATTTATTTACAATTGTCCACTATTCAGGTGTAAGTTTTTAATTTCTTTTTTGTTTATGGCCCTTTATGTGGCTGCACATAAAGGGACAATAACCAAATCTGTAACACAGAACAGGGTAAAATATATTAGAAAACATTAACACTGATTTTCAGCCTCTTGTGCAGCACCCTGTACCCTAATACATCACTTTATTACATGAAAAGTGACATGGTGAAGGAAGCGATATTTACATAGATCATGTATCACATAAATCCTGTTCTTCGGTTTACAGGAGATATACTCTTTGATGTAAACATAGTTTCCATTGATCAGGTTGTTAACAGACTTGATGTTTTTGATGTAATCACAGTTTATCCAGGTTCCTTTACTGTGGTCTCAGAGTACTGACATGCTTAAAGTATCCTGTCCTTGACACTTTGTCTTTAAAAGTTAACTTTTAAATATTAATCATTGTAGCCTCACAGAAAGAAGGTCCTTGGTTTGAATCCACTGAGTGAATCCAGAGTAAAGAGAAAGGCACCTGTTTCATTAGGCCTCATTAGGCCAGCCAAGATTTGCTGACTGAGTCTATGTGGTAGCCATGAGAAGGTTGTTCCCCTATGACAATGGGGACTCCAGCCCCCCCACAGCCACAAACTGGATAAGCATAAAAAGATTGATGGGCAAACAGAACATGCCCTATATCCATCCTATTTATTATGTTCTATCATCATTGCCATTTTCTAGATAATAAAGTCCTAAAGAAAACTACCTGAGCTGGCTGCTTTGCACTTTTATGGGTATATCTGGTATCTGGTAATATGGCTCTATCACTATGGACTCTCGGGAGTAAAGCTCAAGCTAACATACAATGACCCATGCTTTGAGTCCCTAAAATAGTTGGATGTCTGATCTCTGACAGAACTTGTGGAGGTCTGTAAAAAGCACAGTTTGGCAGGTAGAGCAATGATATTATATTTACAGCTTCTGATATCCAGAGGACATAATATTCTTTAAAACAGTCCAGATCAGGTGAATGGTATTACAGTTATTAATGCCTATTATGGACAAACACATTTTCATCCAAATTCTGCGCGAAATCCCCCACTTTTATATTAAAAGAGAGAGCCTCTTAATATTATATTTTAAAAAATGTGACGGTGACTTATGAACATAAGTAACTCTGCTTTTAACATTAACTTTAGCTCGACTTCTTAGTAATTTCTTTCTCAAAATTTGCCAAACATTTCACCTTTGGTTCTTCACGGCGATTAAATCACTTATATACGAAATACAAACACATTACAACGTTGTAATGTGATCATCGTTAACTAAAATCGATGCTTTTACATTAAAGGTCAGTTTAATATGACTACGTGTTTGTTTGTTTGTTTGTTTGTTTTTTTAGCTCTATTTACAAAACAGTGGCGGCAACAAAACCCATATCTAATCTGTCTAATAGCTATCTAATCTCGGAAGCTGTTTACTTTCACAGACTGACAGCCATGCTTCTTCTGTCACAGAGTAAAGACAGAAACAACTGTGATCATCTTCATTTTTTTTTTTATTCCCCTGACAGAATTTCCTACACTATCTAAGAATACGAGAGAAAAGCGAATAAAGAAGTTGGCTAGCTCGATGCTACAGCTGCTAAAGAAGCTAACTAAACTCACCGAGCGCCCGTTTGAAGTCGGCGGAAGGCTGCGGAGATTTGTGCTGCGGTCACTGTGAATAAATCCGGAACTGTGTCCAGGTGTCACAGGAGGGGCACCGAGCTACGGCATTTCTTTTTAGATTGTTATTTATTCAAATCAGTGCAGCGCAGTGAAAGCAGAAGTGGTGTGGTTGTTGTTGGGAGGAAACTCTGCGATGGCATCCGTGCAGGGACAAACTTTACAGCGGCGACTCACCTGTTGCTGCAGCACGCGAAAGAAGCTCTAGTATACAGAAAGAAAAATAGGGTCTACTGTAGCTCTGTTTCCAGAATGCAGTCTGAATGGCGTATCATCTTTTTCAAATCCAGTTATCTGTTTTATGTGGAGACTCATGAGTGCCAAAATGAATTATAGAAATACAGATTAAATAATTAATTAAACGTGACATCAATTCATTGAAATGTTAAATAAGTAAACAAGTATTTTATTAAATCTTTTAAATTAAATGAATAGCTATTTAATTAATTATTAAATATATAATTAATTCTTTAATTCTTTAATTCATTTTGGCACTCTGGGCCCTCCACTATTGAGTTGCCTAGCCATGTCTAGAATCTGGGCTTGGGTTGCTACTGGTCCCACCTGATGTATAACCAGTTCTCTTAACTGGAAGCATTTATATTGAATATTCAGGTATTTGCACTTTATTTGAGTATTTGTTTTTTCTGACAAGCTTTTACTTTTACTGCTTACATTTTCAAACAGACTAGGGATGGACGGTAATTCGTTAATGCACTAAATTCAGTAATTACATTAGAATTATGTTATAACTTGTGTTAACAAAAAGGTCTTCAGTTATCTGCATGCTGGATGGATAGAAATGAAAAAGCTCCCATCAAACAGCATTTTTTTTCTTCCTGTGTACTTGATTGATAATCAAATGACATGCTAAGTAACTAAAGCTTTAAGATAATAGAATAAGGGCCAGAGTTGCTAAACAGAATAAAATAGCATGTGAGCATGATCCCCAAATAGTTCCAATAGGTGTGGTTAGTTTTACGGGTGTTTCAAAAAGCTGTACTATTTTCTTATCGCATGTCATGGATCGCTGTGTGGCAGGCAGGAGGAGGACCCAAAATGCAAAACTCACAGACACGGGGATGAACTCAAAAATTACAGCTTTAATGCTGGAGAGGCAGAACGTAGGAAATACAAAACTAAACTGGAAAAACTAAATACAAAGCTCGCCAAGAAACACAGGGAAGAACACACACAACATGAGGGAGAACGCGACACAGAACTGAGGGAGACGCAGACATAAATACACGGAGGGTTAACGAGGGAAGTGGGAGCACACGGGGAACACAGGTGACACTGATAATCATAACAAGACACTGACGGGAGATGGGCAAAGTAAAACAGGAAGTACAGAGGTTCAGACAGGAGGAGAGAGAGCACGGGGAAAACACAGACATAACGGGCTGGGGAAAACAGAATAAACACAAAGAGAGACGAGGGCTCATGAATACACAGAGGGGCACACAGGGGGTAAGAGTCACGAAGGGAACACACTTGGGGAACAACACACCAGGGCAACTCAGGAAACATGGCCTAAATAAGGAACAAAATACAAAAATACATGAAAACTAAGAATACTGGGCCAACATGGCCCAGGACCATGACATCGCAGGTATAATATCAAGTTCAGGTAGGACATGCTTTTTTCAGCATTTATATTAGGACAATTAGCAGTAAGTTGCTTGTTGCTGACATTAGTAAACCAGTTTGTACTCTTGATTTAAATATTTTCCTTCTTATATTTTGCACTTTGAGACAGTGAAACTCAACTTGCAACAGGATCAGATCTTACACGCAATCTCGTCACTTCGCTCTCTTTAAAAATAGTACTTTTTTTGCACTAAAATCCAGTTTGTTCTGGTGCAGTGCATTAGTAAATCTACCTCTAACTCTATTATGTGTATATGATATAATGCTAGGTTACACAGGGAAGTCTGTGTGGAGTCTCCCTGTGTTTGCATGGGTTCTCTCTGCCCACAGTCCAAAGACATGCATGTTAGCTTAGTTGGTGATTTCAAAATTGCCTTTAGATGTAAATGGTTAAATAGATGTCTGTTTCTCATTGTTGTCCCTGTTGGTAGACTGAAAATCTGTCCAGGATGTACTTCTCCTCTTGAGACAACAACTGGATAGGTGCGAGGCTTCCTAAGACCCTGAACTGGGTGAGTGAATAAGAAAAGGATTTGATGTATTATAGATACCAGGAGTGTATAAACAATTATAATCATATCAGGTGCAAAATAATTCATAATAATGAATCAATACTTATAGTCTCATGATATATAATATAGATGACTCTGGATAACGTATGATTTTACTTTAGGAATAGTTTGATGCTAGTTTTTTTTTTCTATTATTAGGCTACTCAAGAGTGTAAATATTTCTTTCACCACTTTGTAAAACAGCTATTCCATATAATTTTTAAACTCTTGTGTTGTGTAGTATTTCTACTCTGCTTTTTAATGTCTGGTTACATTTTTCTGGTTTCCTGTGGATTTCCCCTGCCTTGTTTTTGCCATGCCATCCCAAATTAAAGAATTCTGGAAATGCTCTTGTCCCTTTTAAATAGTTTCCTGGAATAAACACTGGGAAAATATAGAACACGGATATGATGGCAATTAGTGCCATTATAGGTTAAAAACATGAACACCAACCATGAAAGCAGTTTTGCAAGGGGAAGCGGTACTATTGAAAGAATGCAAACACAGGATGTCTAGATTAAAGTGGCATATTTATCAAAGAAAAATACAACATTTGATTATAAAACACATCAGGCACATTTAGGTGCGACACATCACCTAAACATACAACAGAATAAGTTTTAGCCATCTAACTGCATGAAGAGGCTGTTGGAAAACAATTAATGTTCAGGTCTGATGACGCGATTCCAAAAACTGATCAAAAAAGATAACTATAAGTTGTTCCTCGGGTGAATTTAATATAATTAAATAGCAAGACTAATGCATATGGATGTAAGTGCAGGCCTCAATGCTCTGTGTTGCTCCTCATGTGGGCTTTCAAAAAACAGAGGTCTTTGAGCTGCAAATACATCAACCTCTCAACTGGAGGTACAACTTTACTGCAAGCTGCATATTTACAATCACCTGGAATAACCCCATGCTTTAGCTAAATTAAAATTACACATTTGTTTTGGTAAGTGGTCATTTGTTACACAGTATCTGTTTGTATTGTACCTCAATCCTGTTTGATGCAGTGCCCTCCAGAGGAGGCTTTTTTGAGCCTTTCCTTCAGTTCATTTAAAACCCCTCATACAGTATTTATGACAAATATGTTGCTTCACAACTGTGGTTCCTCACGAGTCATTCTGTAACAAATCCTTAACTTAACTGTGGTGTTTTGTGTTTGTATTTTAAAACTTTCAACTTGTAGGCTATGTAACAGCATGCCTCCCTTTCTCACTTACACTCACAGGCAACAGTGTTGCCAGCGTGTTACTTTAAAACACTGTGACGCATACGAGTGACCTAATCGCTTAATTGTGGCTTTTCCCTTCCCTTTCCTTCCTTTCATTTCCTTTGCTTTCCTTTCCTTTCCTTTCCACGGGGATCTTCACAGCTACGTTTTTTTTTTAAATCCTAGCATGATGAGTCATAAGAAGTCTGTTACGAATACTCAAAACAGTGCTCAATCATTTTTAGCTGTAGACACTTTTTTTTTATAAACAATTTAAGTAGCATAACACCCTTTCCTTTCCTTCCTTCCTTTCCTTTCCTTTCAGCCATGTTCGTGATCAGCTCTCGTTTGCCTTTTTAGTGTTTTCTATATAAAAGCATCCAGCAGGTTTTGGCTCAGACTTTTACAGCCTCTCATAAAACAGGGGGAAGAAAGGAAGAAAGGGCAGTGAATTCAGAGGGAGAAAATCTAATATTTTGCCTTCTTGGAGCTGAACATGAGACATTAAAGGATCACAGCTGCTGGCAGTAGCTTCTGATGTGCGCTTTTTGTTGGCAGTCTAATTTTCAGTTTCCATCACACAAACGTCTCACTGCTGTGAAATCTAGCTCATCTAAGGAGACACATTGCTCAAGTCGCTGCTGTTCTCATGATTTCATATGCTCGTCAAGTCATCACCATGGGACCGGATTACTTCAAGTTCATGCGTAGCCGAATAATAGTATAGCTCTTTTTCTCATCAATATTTGCCTAAAAATAATTTTTTAAAAGTCTGGATTTCACATAGCTAAGCTAAGTGCTTAATAAATGGCAAAAAAGTGCTTTAAGGACACAATTTGCTAACATTCATCTTTAAAGTTAATGAATGAGCCTCTTACCATTAAGGTAAATCTTGAATCTTGTTAAATTAAAATGGCTTCTGTTTGGAAATCGCTGTTTTTCATGACATCAAACTTTTAAAATCAATGTCTTTTCCAATGTTAATCTAAAACGGTGTGACAAAATTACTGCAATCTTTTCCTGAACAAGTTTACATTGTTGTAATTCTCAAACTCTGAACAAAGTAGAAGAATCTCTGGTTGATCAGAAGAAAAGGGAAACGTGGCAAGCTAACTCGTGAAAGCAAGGATGCAGTACTTTTAGTATAAATGGAGGCTGCACTTATCACACAAGAAAATACTGAGGACGGCAAAGGTGCTTGCAAGTACAGTCACCAGACATAAATATGCAATCAGCCAACCAAATGGTAGCAGCTTAGTAGATTTAGGAACACAGACATGGTGACGAATTGGTAAGAATGAAGATTTAAGTCACTTTGAATGTGGCATGGTCGTTGATGCCAGGCAGGCTGGATCTTATTATTACAGAAACTGCTGATCTGCTGGGTTTCACCCACACAACCATCTCTAGGGTTTCCATAGAATGGTCTGAAAAAGAGAAAGTATCCACTGAGCGGCAGTTCCCTGAGAGAAACCACATAATATGCTGAACCTTGAAGCTAATGGGCTACAGCAGCAGAAGACCACACTGGGTGCCACTCCTGTCAGCTAAGAACAGGAAACTGTGGCTTCAATTTGCACAGGCTCACCAGAATTGGGCAAAAGTTTGTGAAAATGTTACTTGATCTGATGAGCCTCAACTTCTGCTACAACATTCAGATGGTAGGTTCAAAATTAGTTGTAAAAAACATGAAAGCGTGGATTCA